CAATCAATGGCAGCACAAATTAATTTTTCATTGTGCTTTTGCACAAAGAGGAGTGTTATCACTAATTGGTAATGAAAAACCCTTTGATAAGAACATTTTTATACAGTTTTTGTATCACAGAATAGACTTACCAGTCAAGCCATCTTCATTCTGCAATCCATTTGGTTTCTGTTTTTCCTAAAACAGATAACAATAGTCCAGCAAAAAGAAAGTATGTGACAAGAGATGTTATTTTGGGCAAGAACAAAGTCCATTCTCTATTTTATAAAAACTAGTTCATTGTAATCAGGATTTTCCTGATTTCCACTACCAGACAAGGAAAAAAAGTAATTTGTAAGTTAACACTTTTGAGCTAGACAAAGATAATTAATTTGCCCACAGTCACGCAGAATAACTTCTCTGCTGCAGCTCTAGCAGAGGTGATGGAGGATGAGATCTGCTCAGATGATGAGAGAATACTACAAGACAGAAAACATCTGAATGATGGTAGCTTGTACTTAATGAACATAGGTCAAGACACAGGAATCAAAGGATTTTCACCCTTTTTAACTAGTAGTTGCACAAACTTCTGAAGTTGATCTTTTAAAACCTGAATCCTACCATGTTGATGAGCTGGTTTTAGAAATACTCAGAGGAGGACAAAAAATATCCGTCACCTCATTGTGGATATTAAAGCAAATTTACTAACAAAGAACTGAAGAATTCCCCTTTGCACCTGAAATATTGGAAAGCCTTCCAAAATCCCCTAAAATTCATACCTCCACAGAGGTCTTCCACAGTAAATAGATCATCTTTGAAACTTTCCAGTCAAGGGGAACTATATAATCATCTGGCAACAAGGATTCTGCAGAAGAAAATATTTTTTGCAGTTGAGTGTTCAGATCTCTCCACAGCCAAAATATATCACTGAATTACAATTTTTGCACATATTATTTATATATATATATATTTTTTTTTTTTTAAATTAGATATTTAAGTGAGCCAGTAGCAAAATCAGAATTTAGAATTTCTGGAATCTAAGGCCAGTGCACAAGAGCGGAAAGAGAGGGAAGGGGATTTGGGTTTCGTTTCTTTATTTAGACGAAGGCTTTCCTACCACAGTTTCATTTCCCCCCCATACTCCCTTAAAAATAGGCACACACAAGAAAAAAAAAATGTTTTCAGCCATTATATTAAAATAAATGGAACTTAATTAACAGCCTTTAAAATTTAAAATGCTTGTATAAGAATTTGTGCACTATTAGTAGAGACGGTGTGTCCTAAAATGTTTTAACTGTAACACCACTTAAGAAGCTGAAAAGAGGTTCTTTATAGGAAAACTGTTTGAAATATATTCTAGTCTTATAAGAACCATAAAAGCAAGACATGCAATTAAATCTTCCATTTATAAATAACTAAAGACATTTATTTACAAAAAAATTCCCCTCCAAAATAATTTCAGTAAAGATTGACTGCAATGTAAAATAATACCAGTCAAATGTATGCATAAATAAATAATTGCCTGTCAATGTACTGTACACCACAAAAAAAAAAAAAAAAAAGGCAGGATAATTTTTGGAATTGTAGAATATAATAACAAAGGAGAATGTGGCCAGCCAGGCAAAATTCTGGTGGGAAAACCCCAGCAGTCAGCAATCACAAGATGGCAGAGTTTCAGAGAGATATCGGGGTGGATTTGTATTTCTTGAAGGTTATTTCCAAAGGAAACTCACCTAAACTCCAGAGAATGTCACCTGTTGCTGACTCAGAGAAGAAGGACATTTGGTTCACTAACCTACTAAGTGTTTTTGAATGCCTGGTTATTCTTTTTCTTTCTTGGAAGATGACTGTTTTCAAGTCATGGCAAACTCCCTCTTAGATTATGAAATTTAAAATAACAAATATTAAGATTCACCAAGTTTGGAGAAGAAAAATGTGTTTTATGTATAGTTGAGGACATCAACGGTGCTTCCTTGCTTAATTTCAGCTCTGTGTGGCAAGTTCTTTGGTGTGTGGTGCCAGATTTAGATAAAGCAGGCCTTTAGGTCCCCCTTTAGTGACCTAAAGCCTAGTAATGCTTCCTATGATTTGCATCACTGTTCTGGCAGGTGGCATTGCCACCAACTTTTAAAAAACAACAAAATCTTCAGGTCAGTTTGAGCAGATAAAATAACAAGCTGCTCCTCAGTTGTCAGATTAAAATTTACACATGAAAATTCATGCTTAACTTTAAATTCTACCGAAACAAACAAATTTTAAAGTATACTGAAAAGCTGGCCTGTGTTTTTTAATTCTATTCGTTGGCTAAATGAAAGCTACAGTTTCTCCACTAAATTTGGACCCAAGAAGATGAAAAACACTATGCACAGGGAATAGGTCTCTTCTAGCAGGTGTTCTATGGTGACTTCCAAACAAAACTGTTGTTTTCACTGGTTACAGCTCTGTGGGATTACATTAGCCTGCAGTATACTGGGAAATGGTGGCTGGCACACTCAATTCCTTTGAGGATTGCTCGTCTTTTACCTGCTAACTTAAAAGTATTAAACTGAAAGTACAAAAATAAGACATCTGGAGCTCTGGAAGGCAAGTATACAACACCAGGACACTTGTTAATAAGGTACACTTAAAAAGAAGACATTCACTTGTAAGCCTGATATTGAATTTCAAACCAAATTAGATTTTGGGAAAGTTTTTCAAATGCATCTAAGCCATGTAAATGTGTATGAAAACTCTAAAAAAAAATAAATTACTCTCTGGAATATAAAATCAAACATGCAGCCTTTATATAAGTGCACACATTTTATACCACATTTTCATTTAGTTCCATAATCATCACAGTAAAGTCTTACTCAGTAGGAAGTATTAAAACATCATTTAGTTTTGTAATCAGCACAGAAAAGTCTTACTAGGATATATTAAAGGTTCAGCAAGCATTTCATGTTTGGACTTAAAGCTAATTTTTCTTACTAAAAAGACTGCAAATACAAGGCCAAACCAAAAGCCCCTTTGACAGAGACTGAGGATTTTAGGTAAAAACTAAAAATCATCACAAAAATAGCAGTAATTTGTTTCAACAGCATTAATATTTAACTAAGAACTGCAATAAAAATTAGCTTTTAACCATAGTCTTTTCATTTGTTTTTTGGTTTGGAGGGAGTGCTTTGATTTTTGTTTGTGGTTTTGAGGGGATTGTAGGTTTGTTTTTTTTTACATAGGAGTAGAAAGAAAAGCATTATACCCAATGGAAGACCTGGAGAACCAAAGAGCTGCACAAGTTGGAAAGCAAATCCCAATGATAAGGGAAGTCCCAGAAAACTGCATTTCACATCTGCATCTTGATAATCTTCAAGCTGTGATGCCTTTGCTGGCTCAGATTCGTCTGCTTCATTTGCATTTTCACTGCAGCTTGCCGTTGTAGTAGAATCTTCTAGATATTCAGAAACAACTTCAACAGAAGACAAATTATCTGGTTGGCCATTTGTAACCTCTGAAGAAACATGTTCACCCTTGTCCTCTTTTTTATTAACTACCTGTTGTGGCTGAAGAGTTGTAGCTTGCTCCTCCTTTGTTTTGGAATCAACACAAACCCTGCAGGCATATTTTGATGTAGGAGAACATTGTCCTGAATGAATGTAAGTAGTATTACGTAACAGAGCATCTGCATCTGGAGTGAGTGAGGAATATTCTTGCAATGCATGGGCCTGTTCATGTCCTTCTCCACAGTTCTTGCTTAGAAAGTATTTTTGCCTCACTTCTAAAACACTATTTTGGGGAATATCTTCTCTTACCAGGATGTCCTTCCCTTCCTGTGTATGAGCAAAGATCTGTCTTGGTAGGTTAAACTTTGGTGCTAAGTTGACAATTCTCCTGTATCTCTTCCTCTTCAGTGTTGTTGGTGTAGCATCATTTATTGGCACATTTACTTCACTTGAACCCGGCATGAAGGCAGCCCTGGCTTCCACTAGGGAATCAAAGTGCACTTTACCAGTTGGAGATCCAGACAGACCATTGCTTATTGCATTGCCAACTTCCTCAGTTTCTGTTTCATGATGGTTTTCCTTTACCAATCCCTCATTTGAATGATAGCAGTTTAGCTCTGCTGAACTGTTCATATGAGTCTGTTCAGGTTTCCTCAGTTTTTGAGATCTTTGTTCACTTATACATTTATCCTCAGAGCAAGGAGAGAGAGAAACTGGAGTATTGAAGCCTATCTGCAACTCCTCAGCAGATAAATTAATTGAAAAAAAAGCCCAGGCATTGGAGTTAGTTTCTTCTGCTGTTAATGGATATCTGCCCTCTGTGTTATCAGGCACATTATCAAGTACACTTGAACTGCAACACTGAGAGATTTCTTTTTCTTCACTGTTTAAACTTACCAGCTTGGCTTCCAAGTCAGGTTCACATATAATTTGACACGATCCCAGTTTGTTTTCTGTGCTTAACAATGACATATCATAGTCTTCAGAAATGCCTTCTGTTTCTTGGATGGAATTTTTACCATTGTTTATTGTTAGGAAACTGCAGAGATTGTCTTTGTGCCTTTGCTTCGCTTCCTTATCATCTAAGGCATTTTTGGTTAGGTTTTCAGCACAAAAAGGTTTTACATCTCTTGAAAGCAAACTGTCACCTTCTACAGGCAATTCATTTTTCCATGCACTATTTGACATCACTGAGACCTCAGGCACAGTGACCAGAAAACTCTCTCTTGAAACCCCTGCAGCTTCTTTCAGGCTTTCATCACTACTCTTAGGCTGCTCTTCACAAACTGTTACTGGATCCTCCAGGCCTTTGCTGAATGTACACAATGATTTTTTGTTTTCTTCTTCCAAGTCATCCTCTTCACTTTCTGATCCATCATGGTCACCTGGAATTGGATGATGAGCTACTCCACATAACATTTTCTTCGTCATTTCTGTACGATTACTTTTCATTGTTTTGTTTCTTTTTCTCTTTTTCTTCTGCTTTGCTTTTATTAACAGGTATCGAGGGTTCTTGCTTAAAATTGACTCCCTATGTGAAAACAAATAAGATCAAATGTAAAACCCCAAATAAAAAAACCAAGCCCCCATTAAGTTTGATCACCATGAATAAATTATTGCTCTATCTGAAGAACAGGTACTTTATGTTACTATGATGATTCAACACAGACTTCTCTGCATTTTTCAGTTGATACTATCACAGATAACACCTTCTATTAAATAAACAAATGCTTAATCAATACAATTCAGGAACATCCTGAACATTTAAATCCATTTAAGTAAACCCAGCTGCCATCTCAATAACTTTGCTTTACAAAAAGTATCGCAAATCATCATTAGACCAAACACTGTGTTTCTCGATGCCTTTCTAGCTGGTGCTATTCTGAAATTTCAGTAAACGCCATGTGGAGCTGAAAGGTACAAAGCAGAGGACAATGTCATCCACTAAGATCAAATACTCAAATTCAAAGCATACTAACCAAAATCCAAATAATGTAAAGTTACAATGACTACAGCAACTCTGATATTTACTGTTCAGTATATAAAGTGTTGAATCATACATATTTAGAAGAAATAGTTCATATTTTATTACAAAAAAATAATATAATGTGGAAAAATTAGGATGCTGTAGGAAAAATGACATGTTTACAGTTAATTTGGTAGCTCTTTTCAGAACATCTTATTTACTTTGTCTGAATTTCTCATCAAATTTAACAGAAAGCGGCCCTAACTTCTCTGAAATCTTGACCTTGGCCCATCAGCCAGCTAACCCTGAAATGAAAACTTGTAAGAAAACCCCAGTCTAGGATTCCATCCAGGAACCTAACATCTCTCTTTTCAATTCTTCAGAGAGATGAGGTTTTCAGAGCTAAGTTTGATTGATAAATCTTTGTACAAAAGACCTATTCCTTTTCTGTAATTCTTCACTTTTCTGAAAGCCTTTTTTTGGGATGGTACTTCACACTAAGGCAAAGCAGCAGCTATAATTATAGGGTAAAATTAGTTGATTTTTGGGAATGTGCACGTAAAATTATCTGCTTTTTAAAGTGCTGTATTCTGAAATGTCTTGAGAGAAATGATACAAAACAAACCATAAAAGGGTGACTGTCAGTGTAGTGGGAAAGCTGACCACTAGGAGGCAGGCTGGGAACTAATGGGAATCGTATAGGAATCTATTCTTACCCTTTATTCATTCTTAAATTTATTCACCGTTAGTCTTTTATAAGTTCTTCCTTAATTTGAATGCTACAAAGCAAAGCCTCCTAATTCTCTGAGTGCAAAGGACAGCAGCAGCCTTCTCAGCATAGCAGTGAAGTGTGTTGACTGCAGCAAGATTCAAAAGTCTTGGTGCCTTGATATCGCTGCTAGGGACACTACAGATATCCATGGTGATCTTGTCAGAAAGCACATGAAATTTATTTCCCTATAATAGCATCCACATAAGAAATCCTACTAAGAAATGGGATTTTCTTCAACTGTTGGCATTTAAGTCCAAATGGTGCTTTTTGCCCAGTATTGAAAATTGACTTCTCCTTTTCCAGATCTGTGTATTTTCAATACAGTGCCCTATGGCCTACATGGCAATGTCCACACCATGTTGAATTCTGTTCACAATACACTCCATAGTCAGCAACATTCCTTCCATCTCTCCAGAAAGAGAGACCTAGGATGCCAAAGTTTTAGGATAGATTAGATCTTATTTGTCTATTGAAATAAATTACATTAAAGTGAAGTACCTCCAATAGTAGCTGGAGAGATTACTTTCTTACATATAGCCCACATATGCAGAAATCATATACTAATCCAAGATTATATCTTAAATCTTGACATTAACTTTCTTCTTTGGTGAAGAAAATTCATAACTTGAATCTGGTTTTAGACAAGGAAATTCTCTGGAGTTTTCAGATTCATAAACCCCTTTACCAGTGAAATAGAAAATAATGTCGAGTTTAAACTGTTTTTAATGTAGTGGGAAATAAAACATCAGACCTGTGTACCAATTCTGAGAAGAATTTATTGTTGTACCTAAAAGTCCTCGTGCTGCTAGAACAACTGCAGAAATGACAACTAAATTATCCATGTCAGCACTGGCACAGGAAAGGAATGAACTTCTCCTGCCTTGATATTATTGTAGCTAAACTTTTAATATCACTTCTCCCAGATGTGAATTTGCACTGCTGCTGCTGGAAATGAACACCCCTAATATTGGTGCAAGCATGTTTCTGACGTCTATCCCCTCACACATCTGACAACACTTTCAGGACAATGCTGACAGAAACTTTCTTAGGCTGGGATGTTGCATCAGAATTGCAGAAATGAGGAAAAAAAAGTCTTAAAGTCTTAAAGGTCTTTAGTCTCCTTACTATTAATTCTGAATCAGGAAAAAAAAAATCACACAGGATGGGATCCACTTCAGAATGCAAAACAGAAAAAAACCACATCCACCAAATAATGGGAAAAAATCCCCTGGATGATCCAGACAAACTAACAGCTGTTACTGCATTGAAATTGTTGCATGTCAAAATAATAAATACAAATGTTGATCCAGGATGATTATTTAGCACACCTGGATATGACCATGAATAGTGACATTCAACAGTTCATCATAAATGCAACTATGTAATTTCTATGCTTTGGAAATATGGAGGTTTTATAACAGTTCAAGGAAATTAGTTTTATAAAGATTTGAATTTCCTAAAGAAAGGATTAAAGCAAAAAGGAAAGTGATGAACTATTATGTGTACAACAATAAAATGTATTATACTTCATGGTTCCAGGTAACTTTTGTTTTTCAATTGATTCTAAGAAAATACTACTCCAAGGAAATATTCTAATGCATTGTGATGGCATAGCTACAATTTCTTACTTGGGGTATAACCCTGTATCATATTAACAGTTTTTGCATTCAATTAAGTTAATTGTCTACTTGTTTTCACAAAATTAAGTTTGTTCCTCCTCTTTTAGTCCACCTACATGCCTTTTGAGAGTTTCTCTTACTGTAAAATCATATGGCATATAACCACCGAAAAAAACAAGAACCAGCATGGAGACAGACTTCTCTTCTTTACAGAGACATTTGCTAGTGAGCTGTTATTAAAGGCATATAACACATGCAAAAGGGAATACCATTTCAGCTGGTATTTAAATTTTGCTACATATTAGGCATTTAGAAACCTGGTTAGTAATAAAAAGACCTGAAAAAATACAATGGTATCTTCGTTGAAACAGGAATTCCCCTTCTGTAACACACTTAAATTTCTCAGCCTACTGTTCAGACAATACTAAAAGCTTTTTGCCATAACTCTGTTACATGTGACTTTAAGGTTGTACCCTACTGCTCAAAGTAGCACTGACCAGCTTGATTGAGAGTCAGAGCTCAGACAACACTTTCAACGGGAGAAACAAATGAAGTTTCACTGAAGTAGAACACACTAACTAATTAATCTAAAGCAATTAGTCACATTTTGCTGAAAAATGGCAAAACCAAAAAAGTGAATAATTTGCAGCTGTACAGACTTCACCTCCAGCATGCATCTAAGCTGATATCTGCTTGATCAGTGCCTGCAGTCACTGATGTAATGAATCACAGAGTCATTTAGGTTGGAAAAAGTCTCTCAGATCATTGAGTCCAACCATTAACTCAGCACTGCCAAGTCCATCACAAAACCATGTCCCCAGGTGCCACATTTACATGTCTATTAAATATCCCTAGGGATGGTGACTCCACCATTTCCCTGGGCAGCCTGTTCCAGTGCTTGACAACCAGTAATGTTTCCTAATCATCAGGCAAGGTGGAGATAAATTTAAAATCCAATTCTGAATGACATTTAGCAATGAGGTACATGGTCTTTCAGAAACGTATGCCGTCATTAATCTCCAAAGTCTCTGGACTGTGTTTTCAACATAAAAAATACAGCAGAGCAGCTTGCCTAAGATGGCATTTACTGGGATACACTTCACTTTCCCCATCTGGTAAGTCCAAGTACATTCTTGAATTTCTTGTGATTCTAATTTTAAACAAGTAAAAACTGAAGTTATAATTTTGGAATTAAGAAAAAAAAAGCCAAGGTACCAGCCTTTTTGTTACATATCTTGCCTTTAGCACTGAAATGAAGATCTAGTTCCGCAAAACCAAATGGAAAATTGGGTTATATTATCAGGTGATCAAGCAGCTGGAAAAAGCCACAAAACTTGCCAGCATTACTGGGTTTCCTGAAAGATGAAATTCCATTAGACAGCTGAGTATTCAACTTAGCACTTTGCTGCTGAAGAAACAGTCTTTGTCACCCTTTCCTACTTTGCTCCAGATGATGCCCTTGTATTTCCACTATGGTCTTTTGCTGGCTCTACCACTCTCCTTGTGGGTGGAATCACCTGCCTTGACCCTGCATCAAAAGAAAAGAAGTACATACTTGGTTGTTATGCTCATTTAACTCTCCAAAGCAAGAAGGAAAAAGAGTGTCTAGCTAAGACAAAGAAGTGGTTGGTGGGAACATGTGAGTACCTTCAGTAGCAACACATCAGGCTGCCTTACAGCAAGGAAATTCACCACAAAGGATTTGTAGGAAATGTTTACACATTAGTGTTGTAAATTAATTCTCTCTCCCCCAAATCAGTAAAGATCCTACTAACTGATTTAAATCTGAAGTAACTCAGTATTTATAACTCTCAGCAGCATTGCCACCTGGTGCTGAGATTTAAATATCTTTATAAAATAAAATAATCTATCACAATGCTCAAAGAGATGGTTCACTTTTTATACAGGAATGATGTATATACAGTTCTGTGCAATGTATAATCAGTCAGACTGCTGCCCTGTTATACTCCAGACACAAAAGACCTTGATCTAGAGAGTATACAGAGAACAGCATACAATTGTTCTGATTAAAGCATGCCTTTAGAAGCTGTTTATTTAATCAAATACATGGCAAAGTGCAAGCACTTTGCTTTCCAAGGTTAAAAACCCAAACAACCCACCCACCAAAACCCCTACATTCCTGAGGTAACAGCAATTCAGTTTCAAATGACAGTCCATTCACTCCATAGAAATTTCAGGTGGGATGACTGTACTGATCTTTGTCCTGCCTAGTTCATGAAATTAATTAATACCTTATGATTTAGATGTCCTAATTTGGCTCCTTAGTCATAGACTATGTTGATCAAGATTAAAGAACTCAATCCTGAATATACTGTTTAAAACATGTTGATGTACTGAATATACTTGTGCCCAGTATGAAACATCTACTTTTTGAACAAGTGAAAAACAAGCTGTTTCAACCTCTCCTAGACACCCTAAATATCTCACCTGACACAACTGAAAACTGAGAAGAGAAACAACACAACTCCTCCAGAAATAGATGAACTGATGGATGCCAAGAGATGAGAAGAGGTGCCATTTTTTTCTTTCAATTTTTCTGCACTATTAAGTATGACTTGGTGTTAAAAAGTAGGTTAAGGTGAAAAAAAGGGACAACATGAAACACTCCAAGTGATCTAATTACATCTTAAGGGGATGTACTTACAATACAGAGAAAGAACCCTGCAGTTTCACCAGCCTTTCCTCCATGAAGGCTCAGAGAACCAGTTTCAAGTTCTGGCCACATTCAGTCCTTTGAAGAGAACATGATGTGCACCAATGCCAATGTTATGCACTGCAAATACAGTACCAATCATCTTGTCATGCACTCTAAAGTTACTGTTCAAATAAATAGATAAATAAATAAATAAATAAATAAATATTTTAACCAGAAAATAAAACTACCCACATACTGTGATACATCATCCTAGCACAGACATTGTAACAGGATGTTAAGATAAACAAGTACAACAAAAGGGTTTTAAAAGTAAAAATGAGATTTACAGGGGAAAGTGTTGACATTTCTTACCAATGCACATTCACACCAAAAACAAATGTAAAATGAAATTTGAGAGGAAACACAAGCAGAATCAGGTTGAAGAAAAATATGGGTGAGAAACTAAGGAAGCAAGAGGGGCATAATGAGAGTAGACTTAAATATTTGGAAATAAGAGATAAGTAGTAAATTATTCCCTGTTAGGAACTTTCAGTGAAAGATGACAGATTTTATCTGTATTTAAAATAACTTTAATTAGCAAAATTTTAGTAAAAACCTAACTACCCACCAAAGCACAGACTGTAATTCTGGAACAAAAGCATGAGTTTTATAAACACAAGAAGACACTGGAAACTTAAGGAGGAAAAAAAGTATGAAGACAAACATACACAAAATAGTACTTTTAACAGAACAAGAAAAAAATTCAAATAGACACCTTAGGGGGTGGGGTACTATATGCTCAGTTTTTAAATCCACATGGGACTGAAGGCATTAAAAAATTAGAGAATAAGGTGTAGCTCTCCACACTACAAGTTTATAAAGAAAGGAAGGGAAGGAGGAGATGGATCCAGAGTTGAAGACAGAGTATGAAGACAACTGCACTAACAAACACACAGATGAGAAAAAAGCAGTTAAAGAATAAAAAAAAGGGGGGGGGAACTTACAACAGGAAAATAGTAAAAGAAAACAGTATCAGCAGACATTAAGTAACCAGCCTCTAACCTAGATTATAGCAACATTAAAATTCAAACACTGGTAACTGCAGATGAAGTTGCTATTCAGAACATATTACACTTGTTGCACTCATTCTGTGCATCTCAAATGCTCTATGAAATACTGAGAAACCACAGAGCAGTCAGTTAAAATTCCGTGGACATTATTACACCTTTTCCAACAAATCTCCATACTTCATCACGTTAGCATCCACATTTTACTATTTCTGCATACTACACTTTAATATTCACTCATTTTCCTTTTCAAATATCTTTTACCAAAGGGCTAGAGATACAGAAAAGACATGATGAACTACCCCCTTCAAGATGATTCGTTTTTAAAAAACAGCCCTGTATTATTCCTAGTGTTGGGGATGAATAGGTGCAGAAAACTGTCTTTCAATTCTGCAATTTAGTGAGCATCAACAGAAATTTGTCTTTGGGCAGAAAATAAAAAGTTACCTTAGAGAAGCACTAATATATACTATTATTTTCTAGTTCTGGAAAGACAATACAACTAACAAATGGACACTGAGGGAGAGAAAAGGGGAGCAGCTAAAGGTGTTGTCAGGAACCTGTGAGCAATTCTGCTATGAAACAACATAACCAGAATAAAGGGTACAGCCAGTTTTGCTGCAAGTTAAAACCAGAAACTTAGCGTCCACCTGAGAATAAGACCAGCATCACAGCCAGCATCCAACACCTTGAGACCAGGCAGCACTTCCATTAGTGATTTAAAACTCTGCTCTGATACGTAAGGGGTAACTCTTCTGATGTTCTGGACACTGCTCTCCTTCCATCACTTATAACCAAAAAACTTCTGTCAGAACGGGCCTCTGGAGATCATATGGTCCAACCTCTATTCAAAGTAATATCATGAGCTCATAGCTCAGTGCCTTGCCCGTATAAGTTTTGAATATTCCAAGGATGAGATTACACAAAGCACTATCCAATACAAATTTCCCATCTTGCAACCTTCATCTGTGTTCTCTCATCTAAGAGGACCTAGACCTAGGACCAAGAAAGGCACCTAAGTATTATTAGAATCAAGAACTCAGTTTAGACTGCAGGAACAAATCAGTAACAGAATGAAACACAATGCTCTGCCATCCATGTATTACATACAAAGAATTCAACTTATAATCCTATATAATGAATCTTTGCTGTACTGCCATAAGCACAGTCTCCATAAAAGTGAAGAAAAATGCTAAATATTCCTTGAGTCATTAGCACATACAGCAAATGGCTGCAAAGAGCCACAAATGCAGCTCAGACATACAGACCTGACCTGCTTCAGGCAGACAATTCCGTGTCTATCCTTTTGTTGTCAAAGTGCCTGCAAAGGACTTGTAGGCAATCAGGAAATATGCTAAATGGGGGAAAGTAATACAGTCCATCCACTCCTAAGCCAGGTTCATGAGCCTTCAGAAACTATTAATGGTTAACAGCAAGATGTGGGATAAGGTGTTCTGTAACTTCTCACAGACTATTATAACCTATAATACAGGCTACCCACACCTAGGGTTAATAAATAAAGAAAAAAATTATTAAAAGTATCATGAATAATATAATAGCCCTCAGGATTATGGGCCTATGACTAAGACTGATTTGTACATGATACAATACATTCCTTAGAAATAAGCAAATGTTTACTCAGTAAGCTAAAGCAGAACTTCTTAGTCTGTTAGCAATTTAGAAAGAGGTTAAACAACATGACCGATAGAATTCAGCCTTTTTAAAATCAGTAGTTTAGACTGGACTAACAAAACAAACCAAAAAATTTAACATCATTAAAAAGACTGCACGTACAACTGATGGTTTTGTTTGTTTTCGGATTTCATAGATATATTCTGGCTTGGCACAACATGATATTGTTGCAAGAACACTGTAAATCAGTAAGGTACACATGACATGGTCAAGGACTGCCTGCCTACCAGAGAAACGAAGAGGCAGCACTATCAGCTAAAAGCAAACTGCAAAGACCAATTCCAGACAAAATAATTCACTGCTTTTTTTATCCTTGATCAGAATTACACTGAGAGTACACCTCAACCAAAAACCTCCATTACTACAGTAATAAATTAAGACAAATTTGAGATGATCAGACCATGACAAACTGTTACTTTTTTTTCAAAATAAGACCAATTATACTGTCACACATTTTTCTGTGAACTCAAAATAAGCAGTTTTGAAGCCAATTTCAACCAACTAGCCTATAAAAAGAAAAAAAAAGAAATTTATCCAAAAACCACCAAAAACCTCCATTACTACAGTAATAAATTAAGACAAATTTGAGATGATCAGACCTTGACAAACTGTTACTTTTTTTTCAAAATAAGACCAATTATACTGTCACACATTTTTCTGTGAACTCAAAATAAGCAGTTTTGAAGCTAATTTCAACCAATTAGCCTATAAAAAGAAAAAAAATTTAATGATGTACAAGATTTTCACCTAGGATACTAATAGAGAGCTTTATTCTCTGCTCTTGCTTTTACTTCAAAAGGACGAGAACATAAACATTAGATGAGACAAGCATCAACCTAGAAATCCTGAAGGGAATTATTTCTACATCTGATCCACAAGAAACATCTGATCACTTAAAGCGAGGGCTTACTTTCAATTTAATTTCAACACTGTCTTTTTAATGCTTTTTACAGGGAATTGTAATACATGTGTCTGTTCTTTTGAAGTCTCAACATCTCCATGATTTACCAGCACTGAGCAAAAACATTTCCTCCAGAGAATATGATTGCAGCAGTTAAAATTACATGCTACACATCAATGTGAGGATTCTTCCAATCCACTGAGAATGAAACTTACTGTTCAGCTAAATGAAGAAAAAACCAACAGTCTAAATTACAACAAGAAAGACAAACCAAACAATTAAATATAAATGTTATGGGTCCTATCTCAGCTAGAGAAAGCCTTGTTTTCAGTGATCTACTAGCAGAGAAACAACCATCTCTGCAAAAGGTTTCAAGAGACAGATGACAGATGAAATCTTGGCCTTTTTAAACACAAAAAGCTTAAAAAATTATACCTCATGGCAAAATGGATTAAAATGAACCTCAAGAGGGTATGGCTACAAGAACAGAAGACAGGATTCCTCACAGGAAATAATTTAACATCACATCTTAAAAAAATTAGCAGTGCTACATCAAGCTGTAATGGTTTATCCCCAGCTGTCACCTCAGCCCCACACAACCCCTCACTCAACTCTTTCCTGGTGGAATGAAGAAGAGGATCAGAAGAGTAAAAGTGAGAAAACTCATGGTTTGAGATAAAGACAGTTTAACAGGTAAAGCAAGAGCTGCACATGCAAGCGAAACAAAACAAGGAATTCATTCACCACTTCCCACAGGCAGGCAGGTGCTCAGCCATCTCCCAGGAAAGCCAGGCTCCATCACATGAACTGTTACTTCATAAGACAACCACCACCATTCTGAACCCCCTCGCTCCTTCTTCCTCCAGCTTTATATACCAGCTGTGATGCCTTAAAGTCTGGGATCTCCCTTTGGTCAGCTGGGGTCAGCTGCCCCAGCTTTGTCCCCTCCCAGTTCTGTTAGGAGCAGAAAGGCCTTGATGCTGTGTAAGCACAGCTCAGCAGTAACAAAAACACCCCTGTGTTATCAATACTGCTTCCAGGGCAAATCTAAAACACAGTCCCAGACCAGCTATTCTGAAGACAACTAACTTTATCCCACCAAAAACCAGCACACAGGTTTTTAGGGTTTGGTCTTGGGGTGGTAAATTTTTTCTTATCTATACAAAATTAAAATAAGAAATCACCCAAAGAATTCTGATGAAAACTTTTGGTAATTTGGGACGTAAACTAATAAACCAGGAAACAGCAGCTTAGACGAAGCAGTAAAACTACAACCACTTTTTCCTATACAGCTGATGCTAAGTGGCCTGCTATATTGATGCCTTGAGAATGAACCAATTTATGTATATTCTACAAATTAATTTTCATTTAAATTTCATGCTTAGAAAAGTTAAGTCTTAAATTTACTTACCAAACATCCCACTAGTTTCAAGTATGCAGGAGAAACTTAGGATTTTTATTTATAATATTATGGCTCTATGCATTAGTTGAATTTTAAAAAAACCCAACCTGACATTATCATTATTTCATTAAATATGATGAATTAGAAATTATTTTAAAAGTGGACAATGAGAAACCTTCATTCTAGTTACATTATCATCAGCAGCAGAAAGTACAGACAGTAAGAATTTTCAGTTCCCCTGCCTAGCTAAGCAGAAAGTTCTTACATTTCTTGCACATTTTTACCAAATAACTAATTTTCCTTGGTTTTGAGGGCATGAGAAATTCAGTATCTGTAACATGTGTTTCACATATTTTTTTACCTATAAATATATAGTGCAAAATCAGCTTCTGAGATGTGTCTGTCCATGACCTGTGACTCATATCCTCATAAAATGATTACACCATAAAACAGAGAAGTGTTACACTGACAGTAATTCCAGTGGGTTTTCACCTACCGTGTCACTGTACTTACCTTAAAATACAGCTGCACAGATGAAGCAATTTACAAATGTTTGATACACAAATTGCAAAGCTTCCCTTTCCTAAATGTCCTTTTCAAACTGCAGGCCAATTGATCAGCATGATTTGCACCGCAAAAATACTCCCATGCACCAATAATTAAAAAGGTATCACAAGAAAAGCTGCACCATCTTAGAACAGTACAAATTAGTACCTATTCAATTAAGTACTGCTAAACAACCCCAAGATTTCAATCTTCAACAATCAGCTCTTTTTTGCCATGCCTTAGCACTGTGTGAATATTACATAAGCCTCAATAAATTTTATCAAGTTATAACTTACACTAAAATAGAGTAGTGAATATTACATAAGCCTCAATAAATTTTATCAAGTTATAGCTTACAGTAAAATAGAGTAAGTCTAAAACCTTTGTATCTTCCCCACACTTGAAATGTGCTTTCATGTTTAAATATAAAAACTCTGGCATAATTGAAGTATTACTGAGCATTTAGAATGATATCCATGATTCTTCTGGGACATGGAAAAAGATAACAATGAAAACTAAAATACAGTAAATACTTGATATGAATAACAGACAATGAAGGAAGATAATGAATATAGTTGGGGAGTCTCCTTTCTACACATACACATAATTCAATATATTAACAATGCATGTGCTAGTGAGACATTTTAAGTTGTTTCAAGTATTTAAAGCATAAATTTGCACAACAGGTGTGGAAACGCACAGAAAGATACTTCATTATATACCTGGATTTTCAGCTCTCATGGCATTCAGACTTTATTGATGAAGTATTTTTTTAGGACCTATTCAAAAATAGTCTACAAAAATTAGTAAAAAAAGAACTGTCTATTAAAAAATTAGGCTGGCTTTGCAATTTTCAAAATTCTGATACTGTGACACAAAAAGAGTAGTAGATAACCATCTAAATTCTTTTCATTACATACTCATGTTCTTGACAAAATTTCCTAGTCATTTGGTCATTCAGTGTATAAGAAAGTCAAGAGCAGTTAGGTTATTTCAGCTAGCAGGTTAGCCATAATGCTCATCTGTATAAAATCCTACAAGCCTGAAAATAGAAACTGTTGCATTGAACTACTTCAACAATACTGAACACAAATATATTTTATTAATACAGCAAGCTGTTAGAAAAAAGGCAAAGTGAACACTTACAAATTCATAATTTTTTAAGAGAAAAAGAGCAGTAAGTTAGTCAGTCTCCATGCTGGCTCATTCTTTGTTACATGCTGAACACATTACGTTGGCTATGCCAAAATTAGGAATGCAAGATGGTTTTACAGAATTATATCCACTATTTATACTGAATTGATTCATCCTAACTGCAGACTGGGAATTGACAGCCTAATTCTTTAAAACTTCATTTTTATCACAAATGAAAGAAACTGACTTAAAAAGACACAGCTGTGAAATTTCAGTAGTTTAGTGATAAAATTTAGGGGTTTTTTTCAGTCAGCACACAACAAGTTGGTGGTGTGCCAACTTCATCATAGTTTATATACTACTGATAAGAATAAATAAAAAAAATAATTCAGGTTGCAAAGTTTATGACTGGTGAATACTGTACTGGCAGAACGTTGCTTCAGCTGCACATGAACTTCTGAGACCAAAAAAGAAAGGAAAAAAACCCAAAAAACCAAGAAAACAACAACAAAAAAATTAAACCTCTGAACTTAAATCAAAAAACACATGCCAAAATTTTGCCAGTTGGCAATACATGCCAAATAGAACTAAAGGAGAATCCAGACCATAACTGCTTCCACAAGAAATCTCCACAAAGGTAAGATGACTAAATAACTATCATTAAAATTGATTATTATGTAAATAAACTCTTCTTTTTGAGCTTTACTTATCTTTTAAAAGATCCTTAATATGACCCCTTCTTTAAAAAAAACTGCTCAACAGTTATCTAATATATGACATCATTGTCTTAGATTTCCAAAGAAAGACTCTGCTATATGCCATACTATATTAAATATTTTACTAAAATCCAGGGTCTTACAACTTTAATACTTTTAAAAACCATTCAATGTACAATTTTATTTACATGCAAGTCCATTAAAAAGAACATCCTCCAGAAGAAAATGGGTCTTGAAATAGGCCTATTTAAAACACAGTAAATCACTACTTTATTAGAGGTGATGATGTGTTTTAAAAGGGCAAATAACAGATTCTTATGAACTGACTGCAGCTGTGTTACTGGCTACTGGAAATACTGAAAGAACTCCATGAGTCTGTATTGTCTCCCCACCTATGTCTTCTCTGCAGAGGTGGTCTTTGAGTGTTTTTGTGGGGAGGTACAACTGAATTCATGACAATAGGGATGGATATTTGATATTCGTATCGTTCCAACATCTGAGCAATCTTCTCACGAGTGACTCCATGCTTATTCCTCCTACAAAAACAAAAATTTCAATAAATTATCTGGTATGTTTATAGTTATATACAGTTAAACGTAAGTAAATAGATATATGTATGCGTAAAATTGCATGTTACGGTCTCTAAGAAAAAAACCTCTAAATTCTCAATTTTTCTTCTTGCTTTTATTACACTATATCCTCATTCTCAAGGTACTCAACTTGCATTAGAGTTTATTTTAACAGTTCACAGCTGCATATATTGAGTAACAGTAAACAATACAGTTATTCTTCATGCACAAATGTGATGTTACTCAGTATAACTATTTACCTGAATTACCCTAGAAGGATTTTACTATTTATTAATCAGATTTTATATGGTATACTAGCTAATGAGTAGAGATGAGTAATAGCACAGACTACTCATGAAAGAAATGTTCAAACTAGCATAAAATATGCAACTACACTGTTTCAAAACTTAATGACACAATACTTTCTCATCAAGAAACCTCTCTAGAGAATAAGAAGCAACTTTAGTTCTGAACCAGAACAACACATCCACAACACTTCCATCTACTAGTTGTAACTCACACTTGCTGTCAATTCAGAAATGTAGTGAAACACATGTAAGGGAAATGGTATCAAAAGTGCTGTCCTATTCTTGCAGTGCTCAGTAACCAGCTACTTTCAGGGAGAACTTGGTCTATTAACAACCTGAGCACATCACATTAGAGTATATATAATCTCCTCGGTATTTATGGAATAGGATCTTAAAATCCTTGTTAGCAGAGAATTTCAGTCTCTGCCAGAAGAAAACCACAAGCCTCATGCACAAACTGAATGTCAGAGAATTAAGAGAACCGTAACAGAAATTAATCTGAAAGAAGAGACATAAAACAGAAACAAAAGGTTTTGATAGCATAAACAAGAATTTATCATAACCCAATACTTTTTATTGCCGAGAAATCTTGTCCAAGCTAAATTATGTCCACAACAAACCAACAGGCAATATATTTCTGCGTCTTTGCTTTTTGCCAGGGACAGAAGAGGTATGGGCCTTAACAACTTGATCAGTTCTACAGAGGAGAAATCAACAGTGGGAACAAAGAGGCTATATTGGAAATACAATATTCCATACAGAAAGATTTTAGAAGACTGATTTCTCACTACCCAGTCCCCTCAGGACTTTATGAGTAGTATCAAGTTGACAAGGGCTCAAAGCACACTGCAGGTAGCACACTAATTTCACATTCAGAATGGAAGCAGAACTGGTGATCTCAGAACTATTCAAAATTACATTGGCTTCTTAAAGGGGTATTTTATCAACTTACTTTCTGTGAAGAAAATGCTTAAGCAGAGCATTTCCCTCACAAACACTCTTCCCTGAGACAACACCAGAAGCTGGAGTCATCATCGCATGTGGCTCATTGTCTACATTGTGCTAAAGCAGCCCAGGAGCAGCTGCATGTTGAACTAATCACTTGGTGAGTCTTAGCAGTTTTGATTTTATTCACAAATATGAACAAGGTTAATGATAGACAAAAAAGACAACCCTCTAGAAATATGTGGATTTTATAAAGCACTTGACATTTGTGACAGACAAAAAATGAGAAGAGCAGTTCTTTTTATGCTAAATGTTGGAAGCAGAAAGTTATTCAAGATTTTCCTATCAACATTTAGTATTTTACTATCTTAGTACTCCTAGAAAAAAATTACAGCTCAAGTGCACTGGACATGAAGTCCACACACATCCACAATTGAATGGACTTGTGCATAATCACTTCATAAAAGATAAGTACTCTTCCTTACAGAATACGGCAGGATAACAAAATCACCAGCAGCAAATTGCATCAAGCATAGAAACTGATTTAAAAAAGGAAATAAATTTGCTGTATAGTGTCATTTAATACTGGTATCTCCTCTTCAGGCATGTCTTCACTCATTCTTTGGCAGCTTGCTATGCTGAGAGAGCATAAAGTCATCTATCTGAACCAAAGCAGACATACCAGCAAAAGCTCCTAACAGATAGGAGAAGACTGTTTTGCATGGAGGAACACAGAACCTATTGATAAAATCAAAGTTCTGCCACTAATAAATGCTTCCATACGACCCTTCACCACTGCACCCTCAGCAAGCTTGCCAATGAAACAAAACTGAGGAGCCCTCTCCCAAAGTAACTAAAGAAAAAAGTGAAAGCTTACATCAGCACCTTTCTTAAACTCCCAAAAAATAAAGTTTCCAGGCAATAGGCCTCTCTTTAAATATTTAAAGCAACTAAAACTGCTAAAATATTTCTAGGAATCTTCTAGAAACTGGTAACAGCACTTCAGAGTTCAAGAGTTTGCTCTGGGAAAGGTATCAACTTTACTCCTACAATTAAAAACCGGACAATAAAATTCAACAGTAACAACACAACAGTTTATCCTGTTGCTGGTTAAGATGATCTGGAAACATGACTTTTCCTGGAAAATCAGTCTGTTTCGTGTAATGGAAATCTTAAGTGCCTGATTACTAGGATTCCAAACTTCGCTGTGCTGCATGCCAAACTAGAAAAACTTACTATCATTCTACAGAGAGAGAACTCCATCTCTAGAAACAAGTGAGTGGTAGCTTATGAGCAAAAGGTGAAAACTTTAGAACATATACAAACCCAAAAGAGTCCGAGTCAGTAATGCAAGCATTATACATATGTATAAATACACATATTTCATGCACTGTACGGGCTAATTTACAAAGCTGAAACAATTAGAGGCAAAGTCAGCTCGATGTATATACAACAAAAATTAGTGAGAGAACTCTGTCATCAACTGTGAAAATATTATACTACTTTTCAAACAAAGAAATATCCTTGAGCTGGTTTGATACCTCATAGATTCCTAAAGCAGATATATCTGAGGCAAAAAGGATATTAGCAGCTTCCCAAGCACTCTCA